TGCTGTTTGCTACGGGGAATTTTAAAGAATGGAAACGGACAAAAATACTGAAACCTCACTGCTCTGATGCCAGCTCTACTCAGTGCTTGATGGGAGGGTGGCTCACAGGGATGGGGTTTGGGATCCACTCTGGAATTACATTGGGGTAGAGAGGTCTCCCTTCGGGTTTTAGCCCCCCAGTTTACCATCACCTGATGTCACACTTCAGTGTCCATTTCACAGGGAAGGGCTCTGCAAGGCACTCATGAATATCACTGCGGCCTGAGGTCTTAAGCTGTTCAGCCCAAACCCTCACGCTCTGAAGGAAGCACCTCCGAGCAGGAGAGAAACAGGGCAGGCTGAAGGTCAGAGAAGGACCCCTCCCCCACTTCTTTTGTGGACTTGCATTGCGTACCATGGACTTCCACACCAGCAAATAAATGAGTCCTCCGTTGGGGACTTAAAACTCCCTTTGTTACCTAGACATTTAGTTCTTGTCAACGTTACTTCCTGAATAAAGGTCTTCCCTGACAGCGGAACAAGAGGATCCAGATTCATTCGTATCTAGATCAATGTCAAGTCCTGTGCTCCGCACAGGAGTCAGCTGACTGGCTGGGCCTCAAATCATAGTGCTGCTAACCAGTGCCAGCCGTCCACAGTCACAGCTGGAGCCGCCCTGACAAGGACAGCTGGTCCCGCCTCATTTACATTCTTTTCACGCAGCCGTCCAGCTACTGGAGGGGCTGCAGATGCCTGGTTTTATAAAGCAACACACTGGTTCACTGCAGATGTGAATTTCAGTTAGATTTCATTTCCGTGGCATCAATAACACTGAAAGCTACATAGGATAGGAAGGAGCCTGGAAAGGGTGTGAAAAGATGAGCAGGGAAGAGTGGGTGAGAAAGATACATTAAAAACAAATAAAAGCGACACCCAGAAGAGATGAGTGGTTACACCTTCACTTTCTCAGGCTCCCCTACAAGACGCGGAACTCAGTGTTCTTCAGTTACTCTCACTCAGGTCTCACCACCTGATGGCCTCTCTTCTTCAGCCCTTGCCTCGCCTCAGGAGTACTCTTAAACTTCCACCTGGTGGCCCTGGCTACCTTTCTGGAAAGCTCTACTTTCTTATGAAGCAAAGTTATGGTTCTGGAAAAATAGAAAAGACTCAATAGGGAGATTTCTGACCCTAAGAATAAATATTCCAGAAGCACTGCTTTCAAATTTCCTTTTCTCCAACACTGCAGTCCCACACCCAACACATTCCTAAGAGCAACACGTTGAAAACAAACTGATGAATCCTTTATCAGAAAAAACAGGGCGGGTGGGCACTGAGGGCTGTGACATAGAATTCCAAAACATCAGTGACACAAAGACTCTTTCCTCATTTCATCAGAGATAGTGTCTTATTCTTCAGGAATTTCAGGGGAATGATTGCAGGCACTTGAGCCCTCCTCCAGAGACTGTATTAATATAAGCGCCTCATCTCAGAGTGACAAGTTCCTGGAAATCGAACTGGAGTTTAGATTACTGGCAAAATCACTACAGTGAGGAAGCTGATGCCCTTAGTCTCACATGGACCAAAATTAGTTCAGGATGAACGGTTGGTTTAGCCACTAACTGAGAGAAAGGCTGTCATAAGGAAAGTCTGGCTGAACAACACTGACATCTTTGACATTACATTCTGAATGCATGTAGTGGTTTGCTTTGGTATTAAGCCTAAAAGAATTCTGTAAATGCTGCTTACAAGACAATCTTTTACTGACACACACATTTTAAAATGCCCAAGAGAAAAACCTTTCCTCACGGAGCATCAGTGCCACCTAGTGGCAACTCTTTCCATAGCTCATAATAAGGATGGACCTCGGTTGTCAATGCAAGCTCTCCCCATTCAAAGGACAGGGTGGAAACTTCTCTGCAACCTGCTGTCACTGCCTCAGGTTCCCATAAGACATGATTTTCACTTTATTTTCCATGGTGGGCCATACACTAGAAGACCTTCCCCTAACAGTAGAAAACAAGTCTAGAGCGTGAACGGTATTATCCACAGGCAAGGGTCAAGTTCTGAAGCATACTGTAATGGACAACGCCTTAATGATGTAAAACATTACTGAGAAACATAATATTTGAATAAATGTAAAGACATACTTTAAACTTAGATAGCAAGACTAGATATTTTTAAGGTAATAATTTCCTTAAACTCATCTATAAATTTGGTAAGATTCTAATTAAAATGCTACCAGCTGTTCTCTAATTCCTAGCTGGCCCCAGCTCCATCCCCTCTGCTTCCCCAGCTCCCTGCTGCTTCCTAGTCCTCTCTGTCTGCCCCCTTTCAATGCTTTTTACTCCAAACTGCAAAATCTTCCCCCAGCCTTGATCTCTCCTCCTGTGTTCCTGAGCCTCGTCACTTACTACCCCTCCCCTGGGAACTGGCTTTTCAGGTCATTTCACTAAGGACATTGCCTTTGCAGAGACTACATTTCACTTGTGGTGACCACATTCCATGACCTCCCCTCCGGGTAAGCATAAAGAAGTCTCCGCCCAGAATAAGCCCGCCAAAAGTCCTTTAAAAGCCACCGACTCCCGTCATTGGGTACTGGAGCCATCCAGGCTCAGCCACCTGGTGTGCGGATGATCCCTCACCACTCTGGCCACGTGTGTTCCTCCTTCAGCGACCTAACACTTACCAAATAATAAAGCACCTACTATGTACCAGCCATTGGAAAACATATGCATACCCTCAAAACGCAACATGTCCAAAACAGAATTGATCTTCTCTCCTGGGATCTTTATTTCTATTCTATTTCCAATTTTGAGTCAACAGCGCCATCATCCACTTAGTAGCCCAAACCGGAGCGGGACTCATCTGGACTTCTCCCCACCCCCCAGTCAGAATATTTCCTTCTAACCCTGTCTCCCTCTTATCTTTCAAATCTGCTCCTTTTCTCCACAACACCCCCCCACCCCCCCACCCCCACCCCCCGCACCGCATTAGTGTTGGTTCTCATCATCTGCATTACTCAGAATGTACCAGGTGATGCTGTTGGGAACAAACTCAAACCTCAAAACAAAGACATTTCTACAAGTCTATCCTGGCAGAAGGAAAAGAGACAGTGAACCATACGCTCCTTTTTTTAAAAAATTGTGGTAAAAGACAAATAACATAAAATCTACCCTATTAATACATTTTTAAGTGCACAGTGAAGTATTGGTAACTATATGAACATAGTTATACAGATATTTTTTAAAATATATTTTTATTCATTTCAGAGGAAAGGAGAGGGAGAGAGAGATAGAAACATCAACGACGAGAGAGAATTATTGATCAGCTGCCTCCTGCACCCCCCACAATGAGGATTGAGCCCGAAACCCAGGCATATGTCATGACCTGGAATCGAACTGTGACCTCCTGGTTCATAGGTCAATGCTCAACCACGGAGCCACGCTGGCCAGGCAAGATCTTTGGAACTTTCAAATCTTGCATAACTAACATTCCACACCCACTGCATGAAAACTCTCTATTTCCCCCTCCCCCAGCTCCTAGCAACCACTTGCTACTTTCTGCTTCTATGAATGACTACTTTAGATACAACCTGAAAGTGGAACCATACAGTATTTGTCTTTTTGTGACTGGCTTATCTCAGCATAATGTATTCAAAGTTCATCCATGTTGTTGCATGTGTCAGAATTTCCTTCTTTTTTAAATGCTGAATAATATTCTATTGTATGGATAGACTCTACATTTTCTTTATCCATTCATTCACTGATAGACATTTAGACTGTTTCCATTATCTTGCTTATTGTGAATAATGCTGCAATGAATATGGAAGTGCAAATTCTTTTCAAAATCTGTTTTTGTTTATAAAAATGTTTTTATTGATTTTGTCTTTTTAAGAGAGAGGAAGGGAGAGGGATAGAGAGATAGAAACATCGATGAGAGAAACATCATGATCAGCTGCCTCCTGCAGGCCCCCTAACGGAGATCGAGCCCAAAACCCAGGCATATGCTCATTGAAATGGCTGGCTAGCTCAGTTGGTTAGCATATTGTCCTGATATGCCAAGGTTGTGGGTTTGATCTCCGGTCTAGGCACTTACAAGAAACAACCAATGAATCCATAAATAAGAAGAACAACAAACTGATATTTCTCTCCCCCTCCCCCTCTGTCTCTTTAAAAATCAAGAAAAACAGCCAGGTGTGGCTCAGTGTTTGAGCGTCGACCTATGAACAACGTTCAATTCCTGGTCATGGTACATGCCCAGGGTTGCGGGCTCAATCCCTGCTGTGGGGCGTGCAGGTGGCAGCCGACCAATGATTCTATCTCATCATTGAGGTTCCTATCTCTCTCTCCCTCTCCTTTCCTCTCTGAAATAAATAAATATATATGTGTGTATATATACACACACACACAAATAAATAATTTAATTAATTAATTAATAAAAATCAAGAAAAACAACAACTCTAAGTGATAGCTCACAAATTTTAAGACATTCTTAGTACACAGAATAAGAGTCTGGTTAAAGAGAAGATTTTCAACAGTGAGGTGACTGAATAGTTTTGGTCTCACCCAACACAATCAGTTATGAGAACAGCTGAGTGAATAATATACCAGACATGATATATGCCACCAAGATGCCCAGCTCTTTAATCAAAGAAGTGAGGTTAGGACTTTGAAAATGGCAGAGTATTAAACTATTTTGGCACAATAGGGTGGTGAAAAGAGAAACCAAGAATAATGCTGGCGCTGTGGAAGAAACACAAAACTCTTCACATCTCACATTACAATACAGGAAGATGGCATAAAACAGAGATCCAGAACCCTGTGACTGCAATGCCACCATCTCTGAAACCATGTCAACCACCATTCACAAAGTACTGATTTTCATTTGCTTTCACACACAAAAAAAGAGCACTCAAATCCTTCTCACAGGTCAGCACACAGATAACCAGTAAATATGTGTGCCATTAAGGTAGCTCATACCTTAATTCAAATATAAATGTAGAAAAAAATTTGCCTCCCTACCTTTCGGCAGCGAGGATTGGGACAGCTGAACCTCTTCACGTCACTGTCCAACAGAGCAGGAAAGCTGCAGGAGGGGCACCTGGAGTCCAACAGCAGAGGAATGTCACTCAGACTAGCAAACCCTGATGTGGCTCCATGTAACTGTTCATACGACGACGGACTTTTCAGCTCTCGGCCACATCTCCTTTCACTCCTTACTTGTCATTAAAACATGGACTGAGGCTTGCCTTTGTGCTGGCCCTTACCAGAAAACGCAGGGGCCATTCTGGGTCCTGCCTCAGTCAGTGCAAACCATCCAATAAACATACGTTTTGGAGAACGCCTCACACCTGTCACCTTTCCTCCAGCCCCATGTACAATGTTGTACCTATAAGCCATATGATTAAGAGAAGCCAAGGGATGTAGGCAAAAATCCGAAATGCAGATTTTTTTCCATTAATAAAATTATTCTTTTATTGCTTAGCAAGAAATGCCAGAAAAAATGGAAGCCATAGCTTTGTTACAGGATTTTCATCACCTGATGACAGTGCTCAGGCAGCTCTCCTAGTGGAGAATGAGTTGACAGACGACACTTCCCGACTCTGACACTCACCTGACCAGCTCATCAGCATAGGCTGCAGTGACCTCTTCTTCGGCCTTCCGCTCATAGTATTTACACAGGATGGTCTGGGGTAGCACCTTCTCCAGCTCGCTGGTTGGGAAGGAACATGTGCAGCTGCCTTCCATGCAGCTAAGCTCTGACTAGAATGAGGAGGTCAGGAGGCAAAGAGAGAAAAAAGAAAATTTAACCAAGGTTTCAAAAAACGAAAAGCCTCAGTAGTTACATGCATCATAAGCAAATAAATCGTGATTAAGAACACAGGTTCTGAGATTATAATCGCTCTGTCTTCTGAGAAACCACACTCCAAACAACAAGGAAACCATGAAACAAAAACACAAAGTCCAGCCCTAACCGGTATGGCTCAGTGGACAGAGCGTCGGCCTGCGGACTGAAGGGTCCCAGGAGTACCTGGGTTGCGGGCACATCCCCAGGAGGGGGCGTGCAAAAGGCAGCTGAATCTATGTTTCTCTCTCATCGATGTTTCTAACTGTCTATCCCTCTCCCTCTCCCTTCCTCTCTGTAAAAAATCAATAAAATATATTTCAAACAAACAAACAAACAAACAAAAAACCCCCACAAAGTCCATATTTGATTTTCCCAAAAGACCTCTAGCAGCCCAAACCACAGTGCAAGAGAGTGGAAAGGGGATGAGGAAGGGTCAAAGGCTTAGCAGACTGGAGGGAAGGTCACAACGTAGTGTCTGAAAGGAGATACCTGTGAGCAGCAAGCTGGTTCCCTCTGCAAAGGCTGGATGTCTGTATACACATCTTGGAAGACAGATGTGAGTGGTAGGAGGGGAGGGAACCGACAGGAATATAAACTAAAAACTGGAGGATTGTTTGAAAAGCCCCCAGTTCCTACTCCTTCAGATGTTGTCAGGTGACTAAACTCTTCCAGGAGAAAGAACAGTCTCTGGAACAGCTGGACCAGAGGGCTCTGGACTTCATCTTCAAAGTCACTTACAGCAGGTTGAGCCCTCACACCACAGCACTTGGACCAATTTTGCTGCTCTTGTCCATTTTTAAGAACCCTTGTAATGATAGTGGGCCCACCTGAATAATCCAGGACAATCTCCCTATTTTGAGGTGCTCCGATTAGCAACCTCAATTTCCCTTTGCCATAGAAGGTAGCATATGCACAGGTTCTGGGGATAAGGAGGTGGACATCTCTGGGGGATGGGGACATTATTTCACCAATCACAACCACTCTGCTCATTATTATTACTCAGTCCTTCACTAAACCATAACTGACTTTAGAATAATTGATGAGTGATTTGATTATTGGTTGGGTGTTTAGGAAAATCAACTTTGGTTTTAAAGTATTCATCCAGGCAAAACAAAACTCCTTGCCGTATTACTGTTCTAGTGTCAAGAGAAACTGACTCTGGTAAGAGAAATGTGGTCTTGTATAAAATAGTTACTAATTGTAATCCTATATAATAAAAGGCTAATATGCAAATTATTCCCTTGGGAGTTTGACTGACCAGGAGTTTGACCGCTTGCTATGACGTGCACTGACCACCAGGGTCTGGCACAGAACAAAGGAAGGCCCCGATCGGCCCTGATCTCTGGCCAGGCCTAGGGACCCTACCCGTGCACGAATTTCTTGCATCGGGCCTCTAGTACAACTATAAAGTCCTTAAAAAAAGATCAGTTAAAATTACTAATTTGCACTCATATATTCAAACAGGCTGCAGAATTCTCTTTTTTATTTCGTCCTTCATTTTTCTTTTTATATTTTTTATTGATTTCAGAGAGGAAGGGAGAGGGAGAGAGAGAGAAATATCAATGATGAGAGAGAATCATTGATCGGCTGTCTTCTGCACGCATCACAGTGGGGATCGAGCCCACAACCCAGGCATGTGCCCTAGACCGGAACTGAACCTAGGACCTTTCAGTCTGCAGGCTGATGCTTTAGCCACTGAGCCAAACCGGCTAGGGCTCATCCTTCATTTTTCTTATGAACAGGAGGATGAGGGAAGAAGCAGGTCCTCCCATGGCATGTAAGAACTCCACTCCCTGAAAAGATACCAGCTGTGCTTAGAACCAACATAATCACAGATATCAGGGACTGTCTAGGAATCACACACATTCATATGCCTTGGCAGCGTCCCACCTCCCTCCAGAAAAGGCACTTCCACGAGGTATTTACACTTGTCTATAAATGTGGTCTCCTCAGACTCTGTGAATGTTTCTTATCTGTGGGCGCATTCCACAGTTCTTACCTTTCCAGATCCAAAGACGGCCTCCTGGGCATATCTGATGAGACACTCTTTGCAGAACAAGTGAGCATCTGCACACTGAGTCAGCTCCTCAAATGGAAATTCCCCATAGCAGCAGCGGCACTCAATCAGCTGGCCATCCTGCAGGCCGTCACAAACATACATGAAATTCCCCACATTCAAGTATAGGGACAACAGGTTTCATATTCCCCCACCCACATGCACCCAGAGGGAAAGAGCAACCCCTAGAAGCCATAAAACAACCATGAGGTGTTTTCTGCTGTATAAAAGTAGCTTGAGATGGCAGTACATTTTTTTTTTTTTCAGCATAAATATTAATACACTAGAAGCCCTCTCGCAATCCAGGACCCCTCGGGGGATGCCAGTGTAGGCCTGATTCCAGGATAGGGCCTAAACCAGCAGTTGGACATCCCTCTCGCAATCGGGAACCGCTGGCTCCTAACCGCTCACTTGCCTGCCTGCCTGATTGCCCCTAACCACTTCTGCCTGCCTGATCACCCTTAACCACTTGCCTGCCTGCCTGATCACCCTTAACCACTGGCCTGCCTGCCTGATCACCCTTAACCACTGGCCTGCCTGCCTGATCGCCCCTAACTGCTCGCCTGCCTGCCTGTTCACCTCTAACCACTCTGCCTGCCTGCCTGATCTCTCCTAACTGCTCGCCTGATTGCCTGATCGCCCCTAACCACCTCTGCTTCAGCCCCCGCCACCACGGCTTTGTCCAGAAGGTTGTCCGGAAGGTCGTTTGGCTGTCCGGTCTAATTAGCATATCATGCTTTTATTATTATAGACAGTTAAAGAGAGTGAGATTTTCACTTTTTTGGCGTCATCCTTTGTTTAACGTTATCATATTCATGAATTCTAAGGTGCTAGCAGAACTATACCCTCTGCAATCAGATTATATCGCTAATACGATTATAAGAGTCAGGGACAAGTGGCATGACCGATATTAGCTAAAAAGCTTCAAAAGTTGGATTTTCTCGCCTGGTTGGTGTGGCTTATTGGTTGAGTGTCAACCTATGAGCCAGGAGGTTCGATTTCCGGTCAGGGCACATGCCCAGGTTGTGGGCTCGGTCCCCAGTGTGGGGTGTGCAGGAGGCAGCCAATCAGTGATGTTTCTATTGCTCCTTCCCTCTCCCTTCCTCTCTGAAATCAATTTAAAAAAAATATATTTTTTTAAAGTTGGATTTTCTCTTCTTGTTATAAGATAGTTTTGTTAGAACCGTGGTCGGCAAAGTGCAGCTCGCGAGCCACATGCGGCTCTTTGGCCCCTTGAGTGTGGCTCCTCCTAAGCCTTAGGAGTACCCTAATTATGTTAATAACAATGTACCTACCTATATAGTTTAAGTTTAAAAAATTTGGCTCTCAAAAGAAATTTCAATCGTTGTACTGTTGATATTTGGCTCTGTTGACTAATGAGTTTGCCGACCACTGTGTTAGAAGATCACATCCCAACCCAAACTTTATCTTAAGGAACCACCAAAGCTAACTACGGCAGCAATCACAATTCCTACCATGCATTATAAGAAAAGGCCGCTATGTGAAGAGCAGCTAAGAGTACAAAAGCCATCTGGCCCTCAGGTCATACAGATCTCTGCCTCTAACTCTAAGCATTACTTGAGTACTAAATTTTCCTCCAAGAGTTCATTCCAACAGCTTCTAGGCAGTGTTCCTTAACAGGAACATTTCTATCATCTTCCCTTCAATTCTCATCCAGTCTGGTATTAAGAGCAACAATAATGTTTCAAGTGTCTGACTATAACATGGTTACAAACTCAGCAGATCAACAGGAGATTATCCGGGAGCCACTGTGCCATCAAAATGCTGAGGACATGTGATAAGAGAAAACAGCCCATTAAAAATACCAGCATAAATGAATTAAGTGAGTTTTCAAAATACCTTTTGATACTGTTCTTCATTCATCTGCAGAGCAAGCAAAAAGTCTTCATGCTGAGGAACAAAATTCCAGACATGCAGGTAAAAATTTAGTAAAGATGCCACAAACCATTTAGAATTCATTGCCATAGACATAAAAGAGTTATTATTAATAGTCATCTTTTCAGTTACATAGTTTACCAGTTTAAAATTTGTTTTATCACATTTTGACCCCCAAAAACATTTTCCAATACTCTGACAAAGTGGCGAAAATGTGCAAAGTGCTTTTGCTGCACCCTATGGTCGCCTCAAGCGAAGCCCTTGTGCCACTGAATGGCAAGCTGCTGAATTAGGCACTTTAAAATGATTGACAGAAAAACTGTGATAATGCAAAATTAGGTATTTGGCAAACATTTTCTCAAAGGGAATGAAGTGATTATTTGTGACCAATGATAAAATTCTCAATCTAAAGCAGAAATTAGAATTTTTGAGAAGTCGTCTTGATCCATCTGTCACAGAGCTACCTGTCCACCTGTCATTAGGTGACATAGCCTTTTTGAAAAAATGTGTGCATGTTGAAGAAAATGATGACTACTGATATAATTTGGTACCACTGGCTTGACTCATCCTAAGGCACCATTGCTTTTGTTTTATTAGTATAAATTCAACACGGTGAAAAGGTAAATCATGTCTTATTATCACAAGAGATCTGACCTTTCAGACCCCTAAGAAGTCTTGGGGCTCTGGCTGGTGTGGCTCAATGGACTGAGCATTGTCCCGTGCGCCAAGAGGTTGCCGGTTTGATTCCCGGTCAGGGCACATTCCCAGGTTCCAAGTTCGATGCCTGGTCAGGGTGCATGCTGGAGGCAGCCAATCCATGTTTCTTCCTCTCCCTCTCTCTCTCTCTCAAAAAAAAAATCAATTATTAAAACAAGAGCCTTGGGGAAGTCAGGGGGATCCATGGGTCATACTTTCAGAGCTGCTGGTCTAGACAATACGTATTAAACAACCAAGATACATATTCTTGTTGACTGGCATCTGATGGATATCTGGAAGAATTAAAGAGCTCAATGGCATCTTTCTCTGGTTTTTCTCCACCATTAGGGACTGAGGGAGGTCAAACACAAATGTGTGCTAAGCTCCAATTAAAATTCTCTGCCATAAATCTGAGTTATGAAACTGTGAACTTTAGTATTATTACAAAACCCAGTTTTCCTTTTAGAAACTTAATTTATTCAAATCAATCACACAAAAGAAAGGCAAATCTTAAAAGATAGTTTTATGCTAGCCCTAAAAGCAAACCAGAATCCCAGAAACACACTCCATGCACATCTTCCTACCTCTGCCATCTCTTTGACTTTCTGTTCATAGAACTCCTGCTCTTGCTGCACAGCTGGATGGAGGGAACGCCGGTCATAGGACCTACAATGCCGCCGCTTATTTTCCAGAAAGAACATTCTTTTTTCTATTTTTATGTCACCTACAAGATAAGACAATGCAAAATCATGCAGACAACTGTTTGCTAGGAATACAGGCCAGCCATTCTAGTCTTCTGTGGCCTGGGCCCCACCTACTTTCTAGAAGTACATTTCGTTCCTCTCCTGCACGCGCCACCATTTGGGGAAACTGAGCTCTAGTCCATCCCCTAACCTACATGCACTCTTTGACTTCCGTCTTTTCCCCCTTTTTATACTCCAATTGGAGCACCTCTCCTATCCCAACAGTTTTGTGCTGTGTGAATATACCAGTTTATTATCCATTTTACTATTGAGGACAGGTGGGCTTACAGTTTAGGGTTAGCATAAATTGGGCTATTGAACATATGTCTACAATTCAGTCAAGCACACGGGAAGGAATGGAATTGCTGGATCAGCTTGGAAAACTGTGCCCGTTTCCCAATGTCATTCTTCCAATCTACACTTGCACCCCACCAGCGATGTCAGTGAGTCCCAGTCATTCCACACCCACATCCACACCTGGTATCATCAGTGTTCAATTTTAGCCATTCTGGTAGGTACACGCACATGCGTTTTATGTATGTTTTTAAACTTTTTATCTTGAAGATTTCAAATACAAAAGCTGAAAAAATAAGACCTATATTCACAATAAATAACAGAATAAAACACAATAGAATGATAAAATATTACATAATATAAAATTGGTCTGTTCAGGTTTTCTATTTCTTCTGTTGATTGGTAATTTTCATTTTCTAGAAAATTGTCTATTTCATCCAGATTTTCTATTTACTCACAAAAACCTGTTCATAGTAAATCTTTTGATTTTATCAATATTTAACTATATCAGGTTCCAGATACATTTTCTAGCATGGGCTACAACTTCCAGGACTATGTTGAATAGCAATGAATAGGACATTCTTTTTTTTAACTATATTTGTATTGATTTTAGAGAGGCAGGGAGGGGGGAGAGAGATAGAAACATCAATGAGAGAGAATCACTGATTGGCTGCCTCCTGCACGCCCCACACTGGGGATTGAGCCCTGACTGAGAATCGAATCGTGACCTCCTGGTTCAAAGGTCGATGCTCAACCATTGAGCCATGCCAGCCGGGTAGGACATCCTTTCCTCGCTCCCAATCTCAGAGGTGGGGGAGAAGGATTCACCCACCATTAAGTCTGATACTAGGAATAGATTTTATTGTAGACATTAGTAAGCTGAGAAAGCTCTTAATTCCTAACTTTCTGAGAGTTTTAATCATGAATAGGTGTTAAATATTGTTAAATGCCTTTTCTACATCAACTGATACAACCAGGTGATTTTTCTTTAGTCTATTAAATAATGTATTGTACTGATTTGTTTGTGAATAATGAACCAACCTTGCAGTTCTGGAATATACTCCACTTGGTTTCGGTGCATACTAAAAATTATTTTTATGCCCTCGACAGTTTGGCTCATTTGGTTGAGTATTGTCCTGAGCACTGAAAGGTCCCTGGTTTGATTCCCAGTCAGGGTACATACCCAGGTTGTGGGTTAGATCCCCAGTCAGGGTGCATGTGGGAGGCAACTCATCGATGTTTCTCTCACATCAATGTTTCTCTCTCTCTCTCTCTCTCTCTCCCTCTCCCTCTCTCCCTCCCTCCCTCCCTCCCTCCCTCTCCTTTCCCTTCTCCAATCAATAAAAATATATCCTAAGGTGAAAGTTAAAAACAAAAGTTAAATGTATCTCTAAGTTATAAATATTAAACTACTAATGCGTATCAAGTGTATTTTCTATTTCTAACTTCCAATGTCCTTAAAGATGATCTAATAAGTGCAATATAAGAACCGGAATCTAAAATTAAAAGGGATATATCTGAAACAAGGGGCTAAAATGAAGTTAACAGGGAAAAATGTCAGATGCATCAAAACTGAGAGACTTTTTTAAAAGTAAGGTGGGTGAACAGACAAGAGTTTATTTTTTTATATTTTATTTTTAATATATTTTATTGATTTTTTTACAGAGAGGAAGGGAGAGGGATAGAGAGTTAGAAACATCGATGAGAGAGAAACATTGATCAGCTGCCTCTTGCACACCCCCTACTGGGGATGTGCCCGTAACCAAGGTACATGCCCTTGACCGGAATCAAACCTGGGACCCTTCAGTCCGCAGGCTGACGCTCTATCCACTGAGCCAAGCCGATTAGGGCGACAAGAGTTTAATGTGAGCCAAAAGTGGGACATATTTGATTTCACAAAGCAACAACATTCTTAGGCTGTATGGACTTATGTACAGATTCAAAATCCCAGCTGCTGTCTTTACACAGCAGATCTCACTTGGAATACTTTGTCTAGCCTGGTACATCCAAACTTTCAAAGAGATACTGACAAGCTAGTGAAGTGCACACAGAGAAGGAAAATCAAGAAGACGAAGTGGCAACAGACAGATTCCAAGTCTTTTCAGAGGCAAGAGCTACAACCATAGCAGAAAATTTCAGAGGCAAGAGTGTGTGGGAAGGGGACGGTTTTGCACAGCAGCGTCACAGTTTGCCATTACCTTGTTCAAACTTGAAATCTATGTAAGAATACTGGTTCATTTCTTTTCTCTTTTTTCTTTTTCCACTGGTTTCTGGTGATAGCTCCTGCCATTTTTTAATGGCATCAGAAAAGGCCTAAAAATTGAGAAAGAGAAAGATTACCACTATAAATAGGACACGAGAATACCTGGAACACAGGCAATCCCCAAATTTCATTTTGCCTCAGTTTCAGCTTCTCCCCTGCATGGCTTACAGAAACAGGTAGTGGCAAAATAACAGGTAGCATTTAATTATTTTTGTTTTCTCTGACTCTGATGAACTGCTACAATGGCAGAACCAAAATGCTTGCTGACAAATTAAAGGGCAACGTACGTAAACAGAAACTGCTCAAACTGTCCTTGAATAAGTACAGGCTAAATCACAAACAAATGGCTAGGGAGTTGTATTGCACAGACACTCCCTATATGGTGTTATTCTGGTCATCACTCCCAGGCCCACTCCCCTACATTAATTCGTTGCTTTCACCTTTGTCCTGGAGCACAAAGTTCTTATGCCAGTGATAATCCCATCTTCCATACCTTTTCGCTTTCCCCTTTTTTATTTAATATTATTTTTTGTTAATCCTCACCAGAGGATATTTTTTCCCCATTGCCTTTAAGAGAGAGTGGAGGGAGGGGGGCAGAGAGAGAGAGAGAAACATCAATGTGAGAGAGACACATTGACTGGCTGCCTTGCACATACACCCCAACCAGGGGGTGGGGTATAAACCCACACCCAGATGTGCCCTTGACCGGGAATCGAGCCCATGATCCTATGGTGTGTGGACGACACTCTAACCACTGAACATACCAGCCAGGGCTTCTCCCCCTTTTTTTTAGATCTTCCCAATTAGCATTTAAATGTGCTACAGTCTTTGCCACTGAAGGTCTAGTTACATAGACGAGATAAGTTAGATGTTCAGAATTCCTTCTTTTCAAGACCTGCTAGTTAGAAGTTACACCTACACACCTCAAAGACACCATGTCTACTTTTTCTTGCCTCGTAGCCTTTTTCTATGTTCTCCAGTGAAGACATCTATTATTTGAGACTGTTTCAACACCACGTTCTTCATTTCTTTCCTAGTGCTCTCATAGACATACTCCTCTTTTATAATACTACGGTACTGTTTTAATCTTTTTAAAAAATCTCCTCAAAAAGAAGGAACACTCTTTGGAAGGAAGTGAATTGTGTCCATGATGCCAGTGTCCTCAAGGGGTAATAGCCAGTAAGGCTCAGAACCTCCCAGGGACAGAGGAACAGCAGACGCTGAAGCACAACTTTTCCTTTCACTATTATCCGGCATCTCTCCCTCCAGCTCGCTCATGTTCACTAATCAATACCCACTGGCGGTACTAGTTCCAATGGAGAGAATCAAGAACACAGTCCAGTATGATTTTTAGGGTATTTGTGAAAACCGCCAAAGTTCCTTTAAAGAATGACCTAAAGACACTATAACGGCCCTGGCCAGTGTGGCTCAATTGGTGGGCACCATCCCATGCACTGAAAGGTTGCTGGTTTGATTCCTGGTCAGGGCACATGCCTGGGTTTCAGGTTTGATCCTGGTGGGGGGGTCATGCCAGAGGCAGCTGAAACACAGCCATTGATGTGTTTCGCTCACATCGATGTTTTTTTTCTCTCTCTCCCTATTTCTCTAAGAAATTAATAAAAAAAAAATCATAAAAAAACACTACTGTAACGGGCATTTGATAACATAAAAGCTGAGGACAGAGACTGGAGCCTGGGTCGGGGAGAGTGAGAACTTATAGACTGAAGAGAAAATGAAATGATTCTTGGAATTTGCTTCAAAATAGTCTGGGAGGGAGGAAGTGGGTGGAGATCAAACAAGATCGGGCAGTCGCTGATAATTACTGAAGCTGAGTGATGGGCTAAGCGTGGGTTTATTAAAATATAATCTTTTTTAAAATATGTGTTTGATGTTTATTAATAATAAATGGGGGGAAAATCCAGGCAAATGTGATTGTCTTCAGAGTGAACATACGTCCTCTTAGCTATCATCATGTCTGAGGAGCAGCACACACAGGGGAGACATGTTATTGCTATAACTACAAAGTGGAAGCCTTTTACATCCTTGTCCACCTGAATGTCGCTTTCTACAGGGCAGGACTCTGCATCAGCTGCACCGGCAGAGAGAAGTTGTAGTTGAGCCGACCAGAATTCAGCCAACAGTGCTTTCCCTTCAACACGCCATCATTTTCATTTAAATAACATGTAAAGTTTCAAACTATCCACCAAAATAAGCAGACACCATAAAAGATATAAAGGGCCAGTAAGATAAGGAAAGGGCTAAGGAAGGTATAAATGAGGGAAACAGCCACAAAATTCTACAACCTCCTACCCAAGTAACAAGTGGGCCGTGGGATGATCAAACCTTTGGCAGGGACATTACTAATGAGGACCCCCCTTCCCCAATCACTTCTCCTCTGGGCTCCCTGGGAGCTCAGAAAATGTGTCAGGTCCCATTGCAGCAGTACAGCGCTAGGCAGGGCCTCAAGATAAGAGTCCCAGCTTTCCTGCAGTTCCTATTTTCGGAGGGAAGCTCATTCACTTTTCAATGACAGTACAGGCATTCCCTAGTTAGCTAACCTGGGGAATGAAATTCAGAAATAGAAACCACTAACTCTGTATTCCCTTCAGCGTAAATTCACCTAAAATTAACCTACGATCAGGAGTTTATTGACAGTTGCCTGGATCTTCTTGGCAATCTAAAGGTAGAAGGATCTGACTCAGCATGAAGTCACGTTCACCTGGGGTTCACCATGTTTCAGGTTAAGACGCAGTGGGTGCTTGTACCATTAAGATAACTCCACATTCATTTGTCCATTGGAAAAAAGCATACTGTTTGCTGGGAACAAGAACTTCAGCAGGAGAAATGGATTTCATGGCAGCAGAGGAGAGGAAGAGGAACAAGCCAAACACCTGTTGGTGCCCTCTTCTGTCCTGACCGCCACGAAACAGGTGCTGTGCAGATGTCACTAATGAGGCATGTCTGTGTTACCCGCTAGTGACCAGCACTATTCTAAGGCTTGGGACAAAGGCCCTCAAGGGGAGTCTTATTTAGGGCCCCAGAGTCCGTGGACGCTTTCAACGGACTGCCAACTCTCTTCTGAGGCAAACCACCACTCCCAGGGCAGTGCTGCGTTCCTGGGCTCTTTACAGACCCCGCCTCAGGGACCTGATAGCTAAGCTACTTGGGACAGGACTGTGTGGCCTGCCCTAAGCCAGAAAGCACATCAGGGAGGAGCAGCACTGGAACACATCCTGCATTCCAAGATAAAATGCAGTACCCTTGTCTTTATGGTCAAGCCAGAACTTCCCTGCTTCTAATATATTATTTCTTTTCATTCAGTTCTTCCTAATCAGCAAATACCTTTGTCTATTTATCTTCACCCTGACAAACTCCTTAGCCCTTTGCCATCATAAACCATCCCCATTTCTACAAGCTGAACTCTTCCTTGGTTATTACAGGAAGTCATCTTCCTGATCCCACCAGGAAGATGAAGTAGAGCACCTTTCGGGTGATTGCATAGTGTCCTTTGAGCTCATGCAGGGCCCACTTGATGTCCTGGCTGCTGAGCATTTTGAAGTCGGCCATCAGGAGGTCAGCAGCTTGGATGAAGCAGCGCTGGTCAAGAGGAGCCAATTTAGAATAGTCAAAGAAGTCTACCTTAGGCAACTGAAACGAGAGAGAGGCACAACATTAGAGGCCAGAGGAAATCATTTGAAGGATTGCTGACTAAAGAACAATCTCACTCATAATTACTCATAAGGAGGTTACCAGCCCTGACTAGAGATGAAGAAATGGTGATTCAGAGAAGTTAAATGACCATCTGGAGTCTGGAGACTAGTTTTACTACTAGTAAAAAAGTATAGCTGGGGATTTGAACCCAATCTTTCAGCCATCTTCTTTCCACAAAATGTTTAGAAAATTAAATTTTTCCTGCTATAAAATACGTAAAAGAGGTAACTCAAAAGAATTTGTGGCCCTGACCGGTTTGGCTCAGTGGACGGAGCGTCGGCCTGCAGACTCAAGGGTCCCAGGTTCGATTCCGGTCAAGGGCATGTGCCTTGGTTGCGGGCACATCCCCAGTGGGGGATGCGCAGGAGGCAGCTGATCGATGTTTCTCTCTCATCGATGTTTCTGGCTCTCTGTCCTTCTCCCTTCCTCTCTGTGAAGGATCAATAAAAATATATTTTTAAAAAAAATGAATTTGTGGGGAATAGAAAGATGGAGCAACAGACCCCAATGAGGCAGTTCCAAACTATGTTTTCCTTCACCACTTATCTTAAATGCTCCTTTGGGCCACAAATAAAGATAATGATTAAGATATATACATATTTTTTTGTTAATCCTCATGGGAGGATATTTTTCCATTGATTCTAGAGAGAGTGGAAGGGAGGGGGAAAGGGAGAGAAAGAGGAGAGAGAAACATCAGTGTGAGAGAGTCACCTCAATTGGTTGCCTTCCACACATGTCTCGACTAGGCTGGGGAAATTACAACCCAGGTATGTGCCCTTGACGGGGAATGGAACCTGCAACCCTAGGTTGCGTGGGCCAACGCTCTAACCACTGAACACACAGGCCCAGGCAAGAATTTTTAAAAAAATCTTCACCGGAGGATATGTTTATTGCTTTGAGAGGAAGGGAAAGGGGAGATGAGGGGGAGGGTAAGAGAGAGAAATGAACCTGCAACTTGGTATGTGTCCTGACTGGGAATCAAATATAGGCTGATGCTTCAAACAGTTGAGCTACCAGCCAGGGTGATAATGATTAGGATTTAAAAAGTCAAACTTTAGCCGTAACCAGTTTGGCTCAGTGGATAGAGCATCGGCCTGCGGACTGAAAGGTCCCAGGTTCGATTCCGGTCAAGGGCATGTACCTTGGTTGCGGGCACATCCCCAGTAGGGGGTGTGCAGGAGGCAGCTGATCGATGTTTCTGACTCTCTATTCCTCTCCCTTCCTCTCTGTAAAAAATCAAAAAAATAAAAAATCAAAAAAATATATTAAAAAATAAAAAAATAAAGTCAAACTTTATATTTTGATACAGGATTTGGTTACACAGGTGTATGCATTGAATATCAATCTTACATCAAAACAATAAACAGTCCAGCCGATGTGGCTCAGTGGTTGCAGTTGGATTCTTGGTCGGGCACAAGCCCAGGTTGTGGGCTCAATCCCCAGTGGGGGGCGTGCAAGGAGGCAGCCCATCCATGATTCCCTCTCATCACTGATGTTTCTCTCTCTCCCCCTCTCCCTTCCTCTGAAATGAGTAATAAATAAATAAAAAAACAAAAAACCATAAACAGCCTTGGCCAGGTGGCTAAGTTGGATTGAGCATCATCCCATTCACCAAAAGGTTGTGGGTTCGATTCCCAGTCAGGGCATGTACCTGGGTTGTGAGTTCAATCCCTGGTTGGGGTGTGTATGGGAAGCAATCAATCAATGTTTCTCTTTCTCTCCCCCTTCCTCTCTAAAATCAATAAAAATATCTTTGGGTGAGGATAAAACAAACAAAAAACTATAAACAGATACTGAATTCTAGGCAATGATCTGCAGGCTGAAGTATGTTTTCGACAGTATATCGATGCTTTTGAGATTTACTTTTAAATACATTATAATGAAATGAAATACAAGAGAGAGCTGCTGATGGACAGAGGGACAGATAGGTGGCAAAGTGGATACAGTAAAATGTTTACTTTTAAAATACTGCTGGATATATAGGTGATCAATATGAAATCTTTCAACAGGACTCATATTTAAAACTTTTCATGTTTTCAATTTTCAATGTTAAAAAATAACTGAGATGATACAAAAAATCCTGGCCAATTCCTGTTTCATTTTAGGAACTTACTTCGTAGGATGAGAGAGATGGAGGATTTATTTAATTTTTTGTGAGAAAGGGAAGAATTAAATTCAGAATTCAAAGTGGCTCAGATGGGTAAATCCCACTAAAGAATAAATATATTCTGAAATCCTATTTTCCTGGCTAGTGCTTAAAAATGTGTCCTGACAAAGCACTTTCTTCTCATAAAGACGATGAAAAGAAGCAGAGCATTTCCAGATAGAGACTGCAAAACAAGAACTCAATACTTGCCTTTAACTCATCTTGACTAGCAAGCAGGCTGCTACTAGGGTTGATAATGACTCGATCTTCTCTCTTTGGATAATCTGGGTTTTCCAGAAGAAAATTACAAAGTCTGCAAAAATAAATGAGGTTATTTTCATACTGCTTCCAAATCCCACACTTGCTCATTGATTCAAACACAATGTTTGAAAAATGAAGTCCTGCCGGGTCGGTGTGGCTCATTGGTTGAGCATTGACCTATGAACCAGGAGGTCACAGTTTGATTCCTGGTCAAGGCATGTGCCTAGGTTGTGGTCCTGCTCCCTGGTGTGGGGAGTGCAGGAGGCAGTCAATCAATGATTCTCTCTCATCATCAATGTTTCTATCTCTCTCTCCTTCCCTCTCTGAAATCAATAAAAACATGTTTTTTCAAAAAATGGTTAAATTATAAATTTTTGTTTTACTACAATAAAAAAGGAAAGAAAGAAAGGCATGGTGGTATACTCACACATTCAAATCATAATAATTCTTCAAATGAATTAATTCCTCAATATAGCCAGGTGCTACATCTGGAAATCTTGCTTCCTGGAAAGGAATAAAAACATTCTGTACATTTCATCCATTAGAATGTTTTCAAATTGCAATAAAAACCAGATGTCAGCCCTAGCTGGTTTGGTTCAGTGGATAGAACGTTGGCCTGTGGACTGAAGGGTCCCAAGTTCCATTCCAGTCAAGGGCAGCACATGCCCGGATTGTGGGCTCAATCCCCAGTAGGGGGCGTGCAGGAGGCAATCAATGATCCTCTCTCATCATTGATGTTTCTCTCTCTCCCGCTCCCTTCCTCTCTGAAATCAATAAAAATATACAAAACACACACACACACACACACACACACACACACACACACACAGATGTCAAATAATTACAAACTAGGAAAGAGCTATAAAGCAAGTTTGTGTCTGGCTTAAAACTCCACACCAGGTGCCCAGATTCATCTGTCTATATAGAATATGGAAAGATCCCTGGAGATCACCTGGTCCTTCATTCTTTCAATAAATATGGAACATTTCTGCCCAGGCAAAGGGATTCCAAGTGGAATAAAGCGCAATCTAGTGCTTACCCTCAGGAAGCACACAACCTAGTGGCCAAATGAAAACATCTAGTGAGGAAGGGTTAAGAGAGTGTTCAAAGGCATGGGCAGCAGAATCAGGACATGAAGCCCTGTACTGTTCATTTTTTTGAGAGGAAGAGAGAGAAACATTAATTTGTTGTTCCACTTATTAATGCGTTCATTGGCTGAGTGGGATCGAGCCCACAACCTTGGTGTATCGGATGATGCTCTAATCAACTGAGCTACTTGGCCAGGGCTCTGCACTACTTTTTATTTATTTATTTATTTATTTATTTGATTTTTTACAGAGAGGAAGGGGGAGAGATAGAGAGTTAGAAACATCGATGAGAAACATCGATCAGTTACCTCCTGCACACTTCCCACTGGTGATGTGCCCGCAACCAAGGTTACATGCCCTTGACCGGAATCGAACCTGGGACCTTACAGTCCGCAGGCTGATGCTCTATCCACTGAGCCAAACTGGCCACGGCTACTTTTATTTTTTAAAAAATATAATGTCATTGATTTCAGAAAAGGGGGGGGGGGGGAGAGAGAGAGAGAGAGAGAGAGAGAGAGAGAGAGAGAAACATCAATGATGAAAGAGAGTAGATCGGCTGCCTCCTGTACACCCCATCTGGGGACTGAGCCCAAAACCCAGGAATGTGTCCTGACCAGGAATCTATCTGTGACTTCCTAGTTCATAGGTCGACACTCAATCACTGAGCCACACTAGCCGGGCTGTCCTACTATTTACATCAATGTTAGCCAACAGAACTTTTACAAAGATGGAAATGTTCTACTCTGTGCTTTCCATTGTAGTAGCTGTTCAGCCCATGTGGCTATCGAACACTTAACATGTGATGGGTGGCACTGAAAACAAGACTTTAAATTTTATAGACATTTAAACTTAACCAGCTGCATGAGCCTACACATTGGACAGTGCAGCTCTGGGTAATTTGGTAAACCTGCTTTAAGGTTTACTGGGGGGATTGCTCTTATGACAGCACCAAGTTATCCATAATCTACAGCTAGAATCCCAAAGGGCTTGCTGGGAGTTTAAAAATAGATTAAGAAATTCTGATTTAATTTTCATGTTTCTCTTCTATAAATGTACCCCTTAGGAAAGTGAAGTCCACACACACAATGTTTTTGCAATAAAAGGAAACTCAGTATATTTAGTGTCTATACTTATTTACTTAATGAAATCAAACTTACTGTTTCTTCCACTAGTATTGCAACAACTTCTTGGTCTACTTCATTAGCTTCTTGCTCCCAAAGGTTTTCCAAATTGGGCTCCTGAGATCCTTGTAGTGGAAAGGCTGGGCCTGGCTCGTCGTCGTCTATTGCTAGCTGTTGATCTTCAAGCTCTCCTAGAAGATGGGCGGGCTGAGGAGAAGAGGGGCCTGGAATGCCGTCGTGCTGGGGTTCTGGTCTTGGAAAAGCCGGCCTTGGAAAAGCCAGCCCAAGGGGCTCATGCTGATAGAACAACGGGCCCAGTTCTGCTTCAGGCTGCCGCTCCTGAGGAACAACCTGGTTTGCTCTCTCACGGGGCTGTTGGTTTAGAGAATGGAAGTAAGGAGGGTTTTCTAACCAGCAGTCGTCTTCGATGGTCTGATCATCTAGCATATCAGTCGAGTCTCCGAGGTTTGATAGAAGGTCTGTCTCTGAGTCTTCAGATGACTGGTTCTGAGTGTCCAAAGGATCATTATCTGGAATAAGAAGGCCATTTTTTCTCCAGATGATTTTTGGCCCTGATCCGGGGTTGACAATATCATTTGTTGCTTGGTTATGACTTGGTCCAGGCTTGGGTTCTCTTTCTGTTTGGCCACTTGGATTAATGAATTCAGAAACTCCAGGAGGCCCAAGATCCAGCAATTCATCGTAGTCATCCTCAGAATCATCCTGTGCCCCAGAATCAAACAATGAGCTGTTATACACTGCAAAATAGTTGTTCTTATTTGATTCAAAGGCTGCTCTAGATTTTTTAGGCCTTTCTTCTCCCCAACTTTTGAGATCTTGCCACTGGGCAGCTGGTTTGATGAGATTGGGTCGTGATGTCTGAGGTTTACTTGTCTAAGAAAAAATGAAATTTTAATAATAATTCAATTTCTTTCCTATGTCTATGGCCTCCTTATGTACTTATATGCAGCTTCTGAGATAGGACAGGAAAGAAACAAAAACACCTTCATCCACAAAATTTATCCTTCACACTTGTGGTAACACTGAAATCTGATCATACTATATTCACACTCAGAATAAAAGTAGCCATTCTTATATTGACGTCTGAATTATAGTTTGAATTATAATTTCATCTGAAACCACTAAACAGAAACTACTGGAGAGAAAATAATGAAAAAATGACAACACATTAAAAAAATGAAAAAGTTTTTTTCCTCCCCACAAGACTAGAAAAATTTAGATAACAGCAAGCATTGGTAAGGCTATGGGACACTGGCAATGAAATTAGAAGAGTAATTTGGCATTATTTACTAAAATAAAAAATGTAGCCCTGGCCAGTGTGGCTCAATTGGTTGAGTATCGTCCTGTGCCACGAAGGATCACTGATTCAATTCCCCGTCAGGGCACATAATCAGGTTGTGGGTTCAATCCCAGGTTGGGGTACGTAAGGGAGGCAACCAAGCGATGTTTCTCTCTCATATCGATGTTTCTCTTGCTCTATCTCTCTTAAAAAAATAAATACAATTAAAAATAAATAAATAAATAATGTATATCCTTATGCTCATCATGGGTTAAGTTTAAGAAAACTCACTTCTGTCAGGATGACATCATCATCCAGGTCCTCTTCGTCATGTTGCTGAGAAGCTGAGGTGACCATCATTGGAACTCCTTCTTCATCAGAGTCATCAGAAATGGTGATGGGTCCATCTCTGAGACTGATCCAGTCTAAAAACAGGCAGAAAATACTGTTACCAGGAGTTGGGCACAATCACATTCTGTTCTTTAGATTTTAGTTTTGGGATGCAAAAGGTCATGTCTAAAGCCAAGTTCGTGGCTAGTGGTATCTCCTCAAGTGACACATACCTAAGCATTAAGAGCCATGTTTCCATGCTGATCTTTGCCAAAAATACATTTTGGGAACCACTTGAGAAAACCTGACAATTCCTTATGCTCTTTTTCTTTAACAATTCCTTACCAACTTTTTCTTATACTCAGTTGGAAAAATCTGTTGATGAATCTGTCAATTCTTAAAATTGAAATCATACCTACACTCATGTCTACTCCTCCCAGAGAATAAAACACTGTCATTCAAACTGATAGGTCTGAAAAAAATTTCACTCAAAATAGTAAAATTTTTAAGATTTAAAATATTAAGATGTGCTCATCTTAGCCATAACCTTAAGTATCATTTATAGAAACATATTTCAGTGTTTCAACCAAACACTGCTATAGCATCTTTGATAGTAAGCAATTTAACTTTCCTAGTTTCTTTTGAAATGTAACTAGAGCTAAACATTATCTAGATATAGTAATTCTGTTTGCCTATAACTCCTTTAATTTGTCTGAAGATAGATCATGTTGGATGTGAATTATTGAATATCTGATATTTTTTCCTGTATAGCTCCATGGGACTGTTAAAGCTAAAATGGGCAATGAAATGAAAGTGCACTAACTGTGCTAGAAAATAAATATTTTTTAAAAAAAGAGCCCTAACTGGTTTGGCTCAGTGGATAGAGCATCGGCCTGTGGACTGAAAGGTCCCAGGTTCGATTCCGGTCAAGGGCATGTTACCTTGGTTGCGGCACATGCCAGTAGGGGTTGTGCAGGAGGCAGCTGATCGATGTTTCTCTCTCATCGATGTTTCTAACTCTCTATCCTTCTCCCTTCCTCTCTGTAAAAAATCAATACAATATATATATAAAAAAAGAAAGAGGTCTCACATTACAAATTTTGAAATTTCTCCATTAAAGCTCTAACCTTTCTAAAGGTTAATGCCTCATATATGTATTTTATGGTACCAAACGAACAATTTGAAAAGCAATCTAAAATCAATTATCTCATTTCATTCCTGCAACAGAGCTGTGATAATGCCAGGGATGGCTGTTTAAAACAGGTTAAGTCTGTGTGCTGTAAGGTCAGATTGCCTGGGTTAAAATCTCAGCTCCCTTGCCAAAACCGGTTTGGCTCAGTGGATAGAGCGTCGGCCTGCGGACTGAGAGGCCCCGGGTTCGATTCCGGTCAAGGGCATGTACCTGGGTTGCGGGCACATCCCCAGTGGGAGATGTGCAGGAGGCAGCTGGTCGATGTTTCTCTCTCATCGATGTTTCTAACTCTCTCTCTCTCTCTCTCCCTTCCTCTCTGTAAAAAAATCAATAAAATATATTTAAAAAAAAAAAAAAATCTCAGCTCCACCACAGGCTCAGCTAGCAACAGGCTGCTGTTATCTATCTTTTTAAACATACATTTTCTCAACATTAAAAAAAGGTGAACAATGGTGCCTACCGCAAGTAATTGTATTAGTTGAGAAAGCTCACATAAAATGCCTATTTTAGTACTTGACACACAGTAAAATTGCCTGATTTCAAGTCCATTGCTACCTACACAGTAGAGTAATAAATCTAACCAATTGAACAGAGGGCCTGGGAAGTACATGATAGAGGACGTCTGGTTAAATCTGGCAAAATGAATTCAAGTGATTATTATCACTACCTCCTGAAACCTCAGGAAAATGATAGTAACGGAACTTAAAAGCATAACCTCTCAAGTACACAAAGAGAAAGGGAGATGACAGCTGGCAAGAGATAAACAGATGGCCAGAGCTCTAGCAGAGTGGAGAAGGCTCAAATGCAACCTGCAGAGACGGCCGCCAATCAGAAGTGGCCTAATTCATTCTGCAGAATCCTAGATTTTCTTGAACAAATATTCTTAATTACTGTATGTATTTTGTCATTTCCAGTCTTTAAATGTTGTTTTTGACAATTTTGTCTAACTTTATCGTTGATTTTGGGGAGAGAATTTGCCAAGCTTCTCACTTGGCCACTCAGAAGACCCACCCTGTGGAGGTCCATTCTAGCTTCTGAGCCAGAGAGGTACTAGACACCAGGCTGGGGTCAAAAAAGGAAAGGGGTGCCACTGAAACAGCATAATGAATAAGACCCCTGCTGCCTTCTGCTGCTTGGCTCCCTGAATGCTGGCAGTCTTAGATTCCACATGCAGGAAACTGTAGATTCTTCTCTGATAGAATAAGCCCCCAAAAAGGACCCAATGAAAAAGCTGGTTTGAAATCCATCATCTTACAGTGAAGCCCAATGGTTGACAAGATTCTCAACACTCCATAAACACATTAGCTTTTAAAAATATACTTTAAAAAATTAAAGTATATATAGCAAAGCAAAGTCTATGAATCAAGTGTATAACTCCATGAACTAATAATACAAAAAGTCCATACCTGTAACCTGTAAAACCACCATCACTAAGGGCAGCAAATACAACATTTCTAGCACATTAGGAATTTCTTAACTCCGCAGATTAATTTTCCTTGGTTTTTTTCAGTATATTCTTTTGTTTCTAGCTTTCTACATCCAAGATATAAGAAATAATATATCCAAGATGTATCCATGTTGCTGCATGTTGCAGTAGTTCCCTTGCTGTATGTAATCCACTATATGACTATTCCTTAAAGTAATTATTCTTCACCAGATGGATATCTGGGTTGGTTCCAGTCTTGGCTGTCCTGAACAATGCTGTTAGGAACATTCTTGGACATGTCTCTGGGTATACTCATTTCAGTTGGGTGCATTTTTTGATGGGTCATATGGAAAGCTTATGTTCACTTTTCGTAGACAAAGCCAAACAATTTTCCAAATTGTTTACACCAATTTACACTCCCACCAGCAGTGTAGAAGAGTACTTTTTACTTCATGTCCTTATTGGTACACAGTGATGCTAAATCATTAATATATTACTAAAGGCCCGGTGCACGATCAGGAGGGACCCTGGGAGGGCTCCAGGGCATGTCTGGCCCGACTTGCCCAGTCCCGATAGGCTGGACCCCAGCAGCAAGCTAACCTACTAGTCGGAGCATCTGCCCCGTGGTGGTCAGTGCGCATCATAGCGACTGGTCGAATGGTCAGACACTTAGCATATTAGGCTTTTATTAATAGGATCTACAGCTGCTTTCACAATACAATGGTATAGCCGAGTAGTTTCAACAGAGACCATATGACCTGCAAAGCTAAAGTGACTATCTGGCCATTTCAGTTTGCTGAGCCCAGGTATAGATTACTAATTTCCCAGCTTTATTTTTTATTCAATATATGCAATTTAGTTTTCTTGACATTTAGCTTTGTTTTCTTATGCACATATAAGTTTTCTTCAAAACATGATATTAGATGCATCTCATAAGCTTCAATAGATTGTATTTTCACTATCATGCAGTTCAAAAATTTTCCCAATTTTCATTGTTGATTTCTTTGAACCATGGGTTGTTCTGAAGTATACTCCTATTATCCATACATATAGGGACTAATTATATTTCTATAACTGATTTATGACTTAATTCCAACATAGCTAGGGAATCTACATATATAAAAGCCTAAGCAACAGAACAACCAGAACGACAGGTCAACTGGTTGCTAATGACACACACTGACCACCGGGGGCAGATGCTCAACGGCAGCGCTGCTCAGCTGACTGACCCGTCCTGGCAGCCCACCAGCCCGGTGGCAGCCACTCCCTCCTTCAGTAGTCATGCAGGTCTAATCTCTGGAGAATGGGCCAGGCACCAATGGACCAGCGCCACCGGCTTCCTGAAAGTTGGCCTCGGGCACCACGGCCACACCCCCTCCCTAGACGCTAAGCAAGGAAGAAAGGATATAAAAGCGGCCGCCAGGTGGCTCCCGACAACCAGCGTGAACATCAGTGGGATGGATCTGGATCCTGGGCTGGCAAGGGCATCCCACCACCTGCCCAGAGGGCCGATCATGTCCCCCCTCTACCCCTGGGACCCCACCTGTGCACGAATTCGTGTACTAGGCCTCTAGTATAACCTACATAATTTCAATCCTCTGAAAATTGAAACTTGTTTTGTGGCTCAAAATATGGTCAATTTTGGTAAATACATTGGGTCTATTATGTCAAATTTGGTGATCTTGTTCTTCCAATATTCTATATTCATACAATTTTTGTGTGTCCTTGGCTCTCTCCCAGTTATTTAAAGAAACATGCTAAAACTTCCCATTATGAGTGTGGATTTGTTCATTTCTTCATTTCTTCTTCTAGTTCTGTAAGTTTTTGCTTTGTGTATTTTGACACCATGTTACTAAGTGTGTAGGGATTAGAATTGTTTTATCTTTTCAGTGCACTGACTCTTTTATCATTATGAAATCTTATTAATACTCCTGGCTGGAATGTCTATTTTACCTGATAATATACAGACATACTAGTTCTTTTTTTTTTGCTACTATCTGCATAATGTATCTTTTTCATTCCTATAGTTTTAAACTCTAATTTACCTTCATATTAAAGCCTATTTTCACTAGGTTTAGAATTCTAGGTGAATATTATTCAACAATTAAAAAGGACTAAATTACTTATACATGTAACACATGGATAAATCTCAAAATAAATGATGTTGGGCAGGATAACTCAGGCACAAAAAATACATACTGCATGCTTCCATTTATATGAAATTGTATAGCAACAAAAGGCAGACCAGTGGTTTCCTTAGTCCAGGAGTGGGGTGAAGACTGACTGCAAAGAGGCATAAAGGAATCTTTCTGGGGTGACAGAGATGTTCTATGGCATGACTGAGGTGATGGTTATATGGGTGTATTCATTTTTCAAAACTCACTGAACTATACACTTAAAAGGTGTGCATTTATTGTATGTAAATTATCTATAATAAAAGTTTAATATGCTAATTAGACCAGACTTACTTCCAGATAAAGCAGGGGCTGTGAGGGAAGCCTGGGTCCCGGGTGCCAGAGGGAAGCCGGTGCTGGCAGCCAGGGGAAGGAAGGCCTACTCTTGCATGAATTTTGTGCATCGGGCCTCTAGTAGCTCAATAAAGATGATTACAAAAAAAACCTATAGCCCTGACTAATTTGGCTCAGTGGATAGAGTGTCAGCCTGCGGACTCAAGGGTCCCGAGTTCAACTCTGGTCAAGGGCATGTACCTTGGTTGCAGGCACATTCCCAGTAGGGGGTGTGCAGGAGGCAGCTGACCAATGTTTCTCTCTCATCGATGTTTCTAACTCTCTATCCTTCTCCCTTCCTCTCTGTAAAAAATCAATAAAATATATTTTAAAAAAAACAAAAAGCCTATAAGGGTTGGCATAATAAAAATTATTAATACAGCTAATAAAAACAAAACAACTCTGTATGCCTAAAAACAGTCCTCATGATGGGTGCAATACATAAAACCTGTCTAACAGAAAAATATACCTCCAGGGAGCACCCTTCTAGTTGCTTGATGGGATGCTCCCCAATTCATGAATTACTTAATAAAGCCAAATAGAGCTTAAAAAAACCACCACCACAACAACAAAAAATTACTCCAAAGTCAATGTTTTCCCAAAAGAAAATTATTATTCTTAAAGAAATTTTCAAGTATATTTAAGACTTAATTAAAAAACAATTACCACGTTAATTTATACATGTTCAGAAAATTTGGAAATGAGCATATATACAAAGTATATCTAATATTTAAAACTTTCTTAACCACAATAAATTATAGCTATAATCACTACCAAATTAAAATATACAATTTAGAAAAGCCTTAAAAAAATCAGTATTTCCGCCCAGCCAGTGTGGCTCAGTTGGTTGAGCGTCGTCCCAGGCACCAAGAGGTCACTGGTTTGATTCCCAGTCAAAGCACATGTCCAGGGTTGCGGGCTCAATCCCCAGTACGGGGCCTACAGGAGGCAGCCAATTGATGTTTCTCTCTCATCGATGTTTCTATCTCTCCTTCTCCCTTCCTCTCTCTCTAAATTAAAGTATATTTTTAAAATCAATATTCCTGCCGTAGCCGGTTTGGCTCACTGGATGGAGCGTCGGCCTGCGGACTGAAGGGTCCCAGGTTCGATTCCGGTCAAGGGCATGTACCTTGGTTTCGGGCACATCCCCAGTAGGAGGTGTGCAGGAGGCAGCTGATTGATGTTTCTCTCTCATCGATGTTTCTAGTTCTCTATCTCTCCCCCTTCCTCTTTGTAAAAAATCAATAAAATATATATTTTTTAAAAAATCAATATTCCTTTTGTAGTACTCATAATTTGCACAGCTTAAGCAATTATATTTCTTTTTCTCAATTTATTTGCTTAATAAAATTTGCTCAATTTTAAATGCTTTGAAAGCCAAATATATATAATTTATCCCCTGCTGGAAAAAAAAGTCATCATAAGCACAAAATATTACCAATGGGAAAAAACAGCCACAAAAAAAACCTGGTACAACCTCTTTCATGAAATTATACTTGCAAAAATGATCTTTTCCTACTCATTGGCTTAAAATTTTTTCTTAGCAATGTATAAATGTGTACCAGGATTTGGCAGGAAATTTCATATATGTTTAGGAATGAAGTTATAGAAATGCAGGCTTCCTTCCCTTTATGAAGCAATGAATTTCCCCAAATTTAAGACACCGTAAAATGAAAGAATACATGTCCTAAAATTCCCTATAAGGCTAAACCAGAATCTCCTGGCAAATACTTAAGCAACAGCTTTAGTACTTTTTGGTCTGGAGGAGTATTCCTTTGCAATCACTATTCCTTCAAAAACAGAGAATTGCCACTTTTCTCAAACTCCAATTTCTTAAGGTCCAAGGACTACATGGTCACAGCTCTTTTTAGACTGTTAATTCATAGCTTATTAATCTACTTGTGATGGAAGATTCTTAACCTTCAATCATGCCATTAGGTATCACCATTTGACACAAAATTCTAGTCTGGTAAGTCCATTTACACCTGATGCTCTGAGACCTAAAAATGAGACATCTCTGGGTTCTGCATGGTGCAAAACAGGTTCATTTTAAAGAAGATATAACGGTAGTACTAAGGGAAAAATGGTAAAAGGAGAAAGTGAGAACCAACACTTACCTTGTCCCTGGTGGCAGTGAAAGTTGTTCAAGTGAATTACCTCTTCATTGTTATTTCCCTCTGCCATTTTCAAATGCGGACATACACATTTGCTTGCTAATATCTAAACATGGTGACTATCTGTTCCAAAGGGACAGAAAACGAAGAAAAAAAGAACATTAAGAATGAGGGAAGTATTAAAACTCTTCCCATGTATCTGGTGAAAACACCACAAAGAAAAAAACCTAAATGAATACATAACTAAAGCTAATAAAGCCAACAAAAGAGGAAACAATCCTATATAATAAAAGGCTAATATGCAAATAGACCGAACAGTGGAACGACCAGTTGCTATGACGCGCACTGACCACCAGAGGCAGATGTTAATGCAGAAGCTGCCCCCTGGTGGTCAGTGTGCTCTCACAGGAGGAGTGCCACTCAGCCAGAAGCCGGGTTCACGGCTAGCGAGTACAGTGGCGGTGGTGGGAGCCTCTCCCACCTCCAAGCAGCGCTAAAGATGTCCGACTGTTGGCTTAGGCTCACTCCCTGTGGGGAGCAGGCCTAGGCCCTCAGTTGGACATTCCCCGAGGGCTCCTAGATTGTGAGAGGGCGCAGGCTGGGCTGAGGGACCCCACCCCCGAGTGCATGAATTTCGTGCATCGGGCCTCTAGTGAAATAAATAAGAACAATTACTGCAAAATAACATATAAAAGATAAATGAAAGATCAAAGGACAGGTGGGACATATAAAAAACAAAAAGTATACTTAAAAACTCAATTATGCCGAAACCGGTTTGGCTCAGTGGATAGAGCGTCGGCCTGCGGACTGAAGGGTCCCGGGTTCGATTCCGGTCAAGGGCATGTATCTGGGTTGCGGGCACATCCCCAGTGGGGGATGTGCAGGAGGCGGCTGATCGATGTTTCTGACTCTCTGTCTCTCTCCCTTCCTCTCTGTAAAAAATCAATAAAATAAAAAACAAAACAAAAAAAAACTCAATTATATGGCAACCAGTGGAATGGGAGGAAATATTTGTAAATCACCTAATTGATAAGGGGTTAAAATCCAAAATATATAAAGAATTCATATTACTTAACACTAAAAATACAAATAATCCAATTTAAAAATGGCAAAGGACCTAAATCCTTTCTTCCAAGTAAGATATTCAAATGGCCAACAGGTACATGAAAAGACAACATCACTAATCAGGGAAATGCATATCACCTCACATCTGTCTGAATGGCTATTATAAAAAAGACAACATATAACAAGTATTGTGAGCATGTGGAGAAAAGGGCACCCTCCTACACTGTTTGTGGGAATGTAAATAGGTAACATAACTGTGCAAAAAAGCTTGATACCTTATAATTACAGTGGAAGATATATGTCCCCTAAAGACCCAACAATCCACTGCTAGAAGTCTGAATTATAGAAACATAGTTTACATGTATCAGGTGTATGCACAAGAATGTTCACAGCAGCATTAATTCTACAAGCCAAAAACTAAAAGGGACACACATCAATGATAGAATGGACAAATACATTATGGTATGTTCATATAATTAAAACCTTATACAGAAAAAAGAAATGAAGCCATTACAGTCACATACAATGTGGGTAGATATTAAAACATAGTTACTGAGTGAAGGAATCCAGACATAAAAAGTGTGTTTTGTGTGTGTGTGTGTGTGTGTGTGTATGGAATGATTCCATTTAGATCCAGTTTAGGCACAGGGTTAAACTTAGTTGTTTGGGGTGAAACTTATTTCTGTGTGTTATATTATACTATGAAAAGTTAGGGGAAGCAAATCCATTATAAGGGGGGTGAAAGTGGTTGCCTATGTGAAACAGTAATTGGGAATCAGAAGGAGAGTATTATTACTTTTAATTCTTTCTATAATTTGATTTTGAACCATTTTCCTGCTTTCCTTTGAAAAATTACAAGAATGAAAATCAATAAATAAGAACCAAAAGGGTATAATTGTAACTGCTATGGGGCCTCTTTAGTTCCAAGATCCTATCTGTAACTTACCCACTCAACATTTTTCTTCATACCTAAGAAAATCTCAATTTTCTTTGCCTTCCTGGGAGAAATTATGTACTTTAGAGGTAAGCTCCCCACCCGGTTTCTCTCATTAACGTCTACAAAGAGTAAATAGTCAAATAATATCAGCATTTTCCAACTTAGATAATACAAAGTTGTATATCAAGATTGTTTTACAACAGAACTTTCTGGTATCTATAACTGGACAAAGGTATCTCAAATTTTAGAAATCCCACATCCAAGCATAAGTTTGTCTTTACTTGAAATAACAGTAATGCTATTTATAAATAGTATGATAGAAAGAAAAGCTCTTGTCAAATCTGAACTGCATCGATTCAAGTACTGACTTTTCTTTCAAATTTAATTTTTTAAACAATATATTTTATTGATTTTTTTACAGAGAGGAAGGGAGAGGGATAGAGAGTTAGAAACATCGATCAGCTGCCTCCTGCACACTCCTCACTGGGTATGTGCCCGCAACCAAGGTACATGCCCTTGACCGGAATCGAACCTGGGACCCTTCAGTCTGCAGGCCGACGCTCTAGCCACTGAGCCAAACCGGCTAGGGCTCAAATATAATTTTTAAAAAGTATTTTGAACACTTAATTACAATAACCAAGTTTCTTATTTCTTCTTTTACCACAACTAGGTTTCTTCAGTTTTACACTGTAAATCAAAAGGAACTGTGATTTATTTTACATCTAATTTAGTTAGAATGTCAAGCTTGTAGTTAAGCAAGTTTCTTCATGAATAGCACACAGTGGCCCGAAGCTGCAGTGTGAAAAAGAATCTGATGAAATTTCTACTTCTAATTTCTCTGCAAAGGTCATTCAACCTCCTGACATCCAGTCCTCTCATCTGGGCTTCAGATCAGACTGCTTAGGTATAAACCTGGTTTCACCATTTAGTAAACCAGTAACTGCGCAAAACACTTAACCTCTTGAGTCCAGTTCCTCCATTTGTAAAATAAAAATATGATTATTTTAAAACCGAATTGAGTTAAATATGTATAGTGTTTAGCATAGTGCCTGGGACATAGCAACTGTCACATTATGACTATTATTATTATCTGTGAAACAGAAACAGCTATTCTTATCTTGTAAGGCTGTGTTGAAGAGTAAATAAAATATGAGAAAGCAGCCTTGGCCAGATGGCTGTTGGCTGGGAGCACCGTCCGGACACCAAAAAGTGCAAAGTTTGATTCCCAGTCAGTCACATACAGGAGGCAAGCAAATGATGTTTTTCTCTC